TGTTTTCAGGAGAGGTTGTTATTTAGTTGGCTGTTGAGCACCATGCTTTCTTTTTTTGTTGTTTGTGCTTTATTTTTTCCTGTTTGATTCTGATGTTCTTACATTGTGGCTCACAAGAGGTGTGGAACTCACAGGCATTTCCGTGGGTGAGAGCGGAGCTGGTGCTGGGGGCTGCAGGCATCAGGCACTGCCACAAGGACCAGCTGTGCTCGGCAGCTGTTCAGCCGGGCGCCGCGCTCCAGGCGGCGGCTGATACGGAAGACGGCGGCAGGCGCCAGGGCTGTGCAAGGGGGAGGAATGTGTGTGCGTGAGGAAAGACCAGATTAAAAAGTGGTAGGGTTGTGTTATTGTTTTGGTTTTTTGTTTGGTTTTTGGTTTTGTTTTGCTTTTTTCCCCTGGGTAATGGCTCTTTTGGAAAGTCCCGGCAGATGGCATTGCTATCCAGATAGACTCTCAGGGAAAACTTGTTTTTGTTTTTGTCTTTGGACATTGGCTTTGCATTTTCTCATTTTGAAATCCAGTGAAGGGTTCAAGACCTGCCAAGAGCTCATTATGGGTTTGGTTACAGGGCACGTTTGTTACTGCTGGCTTATTAATTTATCCTCATGTGTGTTCGTTTCCCTTCCTTTTGGCTGGGCTGGGGACAGACAACAGCCTCTCATGACACGTCTGGTGTACCAGAGGCAGAGAGTCTTTAGCTTCACAGCTGTTAAATGAAACGCGAGCAAAGGAGCCTGGAAGGACCAGCCATTCTCCTTGCTCTCCTCTCTCCTACCTGGGATTGTCAAATTCTTTAGAAACTCAGCTTGAACCTTCTCCAACCATTTAAATAATTTTAGAGCTCCAGTGCCGGTACATAACAACCTGAGGAGTATTTTCGGGTCGCTGCATCATGCCACACCTGGTTATTTACATTATCTTCAGAGTAAATGAGGTGCAGTGTGTTGCTTTATGCAGCTGTATGCTTCCAAGGACGAGTACTGTGGAAGGGGCGCTGCTGTGTGTGGACCTTGACCTGATGGAGCCTCTGAGAGCACGGTCACTAAACAGCTGTAACAGCTCCTGCGATAGCCCCGCAGTGCTCGGGGTCAGCGTGCTCGCGCTGCCGTGCGGGACACGCACGGGGCTGGTGCTGCAGAGGGTGAGCACAGGCAGCAGTGCCCGGAGGGCCGTGGTGCTGCCTGGCACGCAGTGGGGACTGAGGGGCTTAATCCTCCCTCCCCAGGGCTGGCACCGCCAGCCGCGGCCCGGAGTGTGGAAATGGGAGGAAATGGGAGTGTGTGCTTGTTTCCTTGGGTGGTTTCACAGCTTCTGGCAAGGAGTGGCTCGGGGTAAGGCTGTGCTATCCCGGGGCTTAGCTTACCCTCTGAGCTCATGTCGTCCCTTCTGGAAGTCCCTCTTCTGGCCTGTCTGATCTTCCCAGTGTGCTGGTGTGATGTGTGCTTTGCTGAGGCTTTGTGCGTGTGGGCAAAAAGGATTTCTCGTTTACCACATGTATGGTTTGCACATACAGTGCCTAGCATGAGGAGCCCTACTGCAGCTGTGAGCCTCTGCAAATGAGAAGAGGTTCTAGTACCTGGGATTGCAGAAGACAAAATGTCCATTTTGTCACCCATAACCTCTCATTTTGGGGTAATACTGATTAACCTAAGACGTGCCTGGAAGCATGTTGATGAACACTTTAATTAAAGGTTGCGTCTGTAAACTAGTTGGCTTCAGAGAATTTCAGAACTTTGCCATTATTTTTATTCTAGCTCTTTATCTCCTTAAACCTTAGGAAATGTTTGTTCCTTGTGTGGAAATAGCAGGGTAGAATGCAGAGAGCTGAATTCATACCTTGTGGTGAGAGGAGGTTTTCTGTTTAGCTGCAGTCCCTTTGCCTCTCTGTTGATACATACACAGTTGGGCAGTAGGGCACTGGAACAGTTGTTGTGTTTGGGGAGATGCAGATAGATCATATTTCAAGAGAGCTTTAATTCAGAATAACAACTACAAAAACCTGATTTGTATTTTCCTGCTTTGCTTTAATGTTCTTTGACGCTTCATGATGTCATGTGTAAACAGTGCAATCGCAGCAGACAGGTAATTCCTGCCAAGCTCACTGCCGTGCCCCAGGACCTGCTGGCACCGCCCAACCGTTGGCTGATCCTAGAGAGAAACTTCAGCTCCCTGCAGGCCAGCCTGGCCTCTGGGTCAGGCCTGTAAGCAGAGGCAGCGTTACAGAGTCTCTCTCAGGTGAGTTTCTGCCCTTGAAGCTGAGCAGTGTAGCTGAAGGGCTGTAGAGAGTTTGTCCTTGGCTGATGAGATAGTAAATCAAGGGGCAACACAATGGCCTTTGGACAGTGTTGTAACAGTGGCATCGATCGACTTGACCCATATGCTGGGCTGACACTAAAATCCTTGCTCAGCTATGAAAGAACAGTTCAGGATTTGGAATGAGTCTTGTTTAGTTCGTTTGTTCATGGAGTTGTGCTTCTATTTGATGTTTTACTCTAGTAATCAGGACATGGACTAGCTCTCAGGAGGGGCTAAGCACAGTGAAGAGGGTCACATCCAGTCTGCAGAGGGACAGTTGCTGCGGGGCTGATGTTCAAGCTGTGCATGTCTCAGACCAGTGCTAGTCCAGCCTCGTGGTCCCTTTGCCCATATGCCAGCTGCAAAGGGCCTTTGGGCTTGACCTCAAGCAAAAGGCATCTCTGCTTCAGCCCGTGCTGCTCCGCACACCACGCAGAGGGCACACTCAGCATCCAGGGAGCCAGCTCCTGGCACACACAGCGCTCTGGGAGGGTAGAAGCAGCACTGGATAGCATGCAACAAGCCTATATTCCCTATACCTGAGTATCTCTTACAGTCACGTGCTACTGCAAGCCAAGTGCAACCTGCAGAAGAGGTACGGTGAGAGTGCGATGCTGCTTGAGCTGTAGTGTGGCAGTAGAAGTGATAGGTTAGTTGAGGCATGAATGATCCAGCCTGATTTCTGAACATGCTGGCTTTGCCCAAAGGCCAGATTTGTCTCCTCTGGATGACTATAAAACAAGAACAGTGTCTACCCGTTCGCTGAAGGTTGTTAATGAGGTGCAAACTATGGCTGTAGGTTGCTCTGGTAGTCACACTTGAGGTGATTCCCTTGTACACTGGGGTAGGAAAGTTAATTGCTCCCAGTTCTCCT